GACATGAGCTGAAAACAAAAAGAAGTAGGTTTCCATTGCACTGTGTGTGTGGGTGTGTGTGTGGGTCGGTGTGTGTGTGTGTGTGTGGGTCGGTGTGTGTGTGTGTGTGTGTGTGTGTGTGTGTGTGTGTGTGTGTGTGTGTGTGTGTGTGTGTGTGTGTGTGTGTTACCTTTTCCAAGCCCAGATAAAGCATCAGTTATAACCACCACCTTGTTGCGTACAGACTTTTTGGACAACAGTCCCATGATTACACCATAGAGGTAGAAAAATCCAGCAGTTAGCAGGATCACGCAGGGCACCAGGAGCACAGTGGTGGTCCACGTCGAGTCCATCTCCTGAAAAATGTTTTAGTTGTAACATGTAGGAATGAAATTAAAGGATGATTCTTTCTAGATATTTGATATATGTCAAACGTTTGACATTTTGTTGACAAAATGTTGAGGAAACACAGACACACCTCTAACACAGCGTGGGAAACTGTTAGTCTAGCCGAGAAAAATCAGTCCTCTAATGACCTCGGTTGGCAGTCAGTACAATTACCAAAGTGTAAAAATGTAATTCTGCCTTTTTGTCAGGGTTTTGTTGTGCGTCTTAGCAACAACAATGGGACTCCAGCTGCTGTGCGAGCTGTACAGGTGCTGGTAGGTGCTCATTTACAGCCACAAATGCTCTTGAACTCGTGGTTAGGCACAAAAAGCATGTTTCAAGTCTGAAACATGGATTTATGTTTTAAATTGAATATTATTTGAATTTTACTGATGCAGATGAGATGGGATGGAAGTGAGTCATTACATGCGTTTCATACCCAGAAGCTCTCCGGCTCTGTTACATTGGAATCCATCTCACCCTTTACAACCTTTTTTAAGTCTAACTATGTGTTCTTATGACTCTGAAACAAAAACAGAGAAGAGTTTTTAAACCACGTTCTTACACCAGTAATCAAAATAAAGACAAATGAGAGATCATTAATGTCTTTCTTCTGTACAGACAGTATACTTGGATATTTTAATATTTATACACAAGTTCTCATCAACTACTTGATATCAAGTCCAGCTTTTCACACTATTATTTAAAGTCTTTAAACAAATTTGTCTTGTGAATCGTAGGGTTAGAGTTAGGCATTAGGAAATGATGCCAGATCCCTGGATGGGTTACCATATCTGTGATAACCACTAGCCAGTGACCGTCTGACAGTTGGACCTGCTCCTCCTCATCACATCCACTTTTTTAAAACCAAGATGGCAACGGAGAAAATGCTCATCTCGAGGCTTAAAAACACGACCTCAGAAACCAGTGGATGACGTCACTCTAGGTACATCCATCATTTATACTGTTTATGTAGCGCAAAAGATAAAAATGGCAACAAAAAGATACAAAAAGTTACTACAAAGAGAGAAAAAAACAAGCCTGCAATAAGAGACAAAAATGACAGTAAACACTAGAACACAAAACACAAAAAAATCACAACAGGGGAAAACTAAGAAAGAAAAAACTGCAAAGCAAATGCACAAAAAAGCAATGAAAAGACAAAGTTGCAGGAAAAGAGAAAAATAACAAAGGAACAGATATTTATCCAACCGACGCACACAAAAGGCAACTGCAAAACAAAAAAATATAACAACAGAGAGACACAAAATTAGTTTAAACAAAGAGAAAAAAATGACGAGATAAAACACAATCACAAATATAAAAAAGCAAACAGACACAAGAAAAAAAAAGTTGTGAAAAGAGACAAAATGACAACAGGTCCAGTGTGAGTCTGGATTACTCTGTACTCAGTCTTTGGTGACTGAAATTGAAAGTACGACAAATGCACAAAAAACAGCAACAAAAAGACACAAAATGACTTCAGTGTAAAGTTACTTGGTGTTTAGTCCACTGGCCACCTCATACCACCATTAACTCTACACATTTCTCATCTGGCAGTGAAGACAGACACTCGCATGTTGTATCCAACCAGGAATTTGAGGATAACCTTTCAGTTAAGGCTCACCATGCCAAGCACTGGCTGTTTGTCCAAGAAGAGTTTTCTAAAAATACACTGCACTAAAAATAGATGCTGTGGCCCTCACAAAGGTTCAGTGTCACCCCGGACTCACCAAGTTATTCCAAAACAAAGTCGGGAAATAACGGAGCACTTCTCAGTCCCTCTGCCTTCTGAGTCTGCGGTCGAATTTTACATTAAAGCAAAGTTTCCCCACCGTCCTCACAGGGTCTCTGCACTTTGCATAACTCACAGCTAGATTATAATGAGCAGCTCATTTCTGAGTGGCTGAGCCACCCAACCTCGACATTTGCAAGGAATTCAATTAGCAGCCACTGCTTACCGCTTCCTGGGCCTCTGCAGGTAGTCGAGTTTAATTCCTCTCCTGAGGAGCTGTAGCTGCTCTGCTCAGCACAGCTCCTGTGACATGACAGCAGCCCAACCGGCCAGGCATTGCAATACTTTAGGATTTGAGCTCTTTTAATAGCAGCACAGCTGAGTCAGTTATTTTCCATGTATGTTGTCAACATGGTATGTTTAGAATGACAGGTGGGGAGGAGATGGGGCTCCTACTGGCTACAGGAGGCTGCCCCTCTTCTGTGACCCATAAATAATTACGCATTGCTGCATAAAACAGCACACATACTGTAAGTATTTCTAAGCATCCCGAGGTCTGTGGTTCTTATCTTGCAGGTTGCATTTTACCTGAAATAAGGGATTCAAATTCAATTTTACTACAACTTACACTGAAGCTGGGATCAAGAGCCCCAGGTGTGTTATATTGGTATCCATCAATAAATAATAAAACTAAAACTATCATGTTTAATCGTGATGAATATGGCCTTATCACCTACACTGGGTCACATTAAGGCCTCAACAAATCAATGAATCAGTAAAATTTTAACGAGTAACAGCTAAGCACGAGCTCAGCCTCTACTGCTGTAGTAGTTGTGTTATGTAAAGGCAAAATCATCAATCTTTGATGTTGTTTATCACATTTTATCTAATACCTGAAGCTGAAAGCTTGTGGGAAACATTAGTAAAACAGGTGCAAATATAAAAAACCTTTGATCTTGTAGTTTATGTGTACGGCCTCAACTTCTGATGTGAAAACCTACAAATCCCAAATTAATGTTGTGTTAGTGTTTTTACACTAAGGTCAGCGGGTGGACCAGATATGAATTGGCCTATGTGTCTTTAGTATGACACAAGCTCTAACAGAGATGAAATCTGATAACCTGATGTGCTATTTTAAAGATACTGAGTCAAGTTTTGAACCACAATCCTGGTGCTAACAGGACTTTAAAAACAGCAGACCACCAGGTGGACTCAATAACTTGGCAACTGTGGGGATGAAGAAAAGAAGAAAATGTTGCTCAGTGTTCACTGAAGTCCACGTCAGGTAAGCTATGTCCTAAAAGTCATTCCAAAACAAAGATATGTGTAACATGTTTGAAATGTGCAGAAAATTAATGCACCAAAACGTTAAAAAATTCAGGAGTTCTAACACTGTGTGACATACTTAAGCTGAAAGGACTAAATACCAGCTATAAATAAAACAGCAGGTAAATAATTTAAAAATAATAAAGTAATACTGATAACGGGGAAGATTTAAAACAACAAAAAAAATATAAAATGCAATGTTGTTTTTTGTTTTAGGATTTACATTTCTTCTTTTGCGACCGCTAAATGTTACAATTTTAAACTTCCGCTTGATTTTATTTTGAAGGGCTTGCCGGATGCTGTGAGTCTATCTTGACTCTGAGGAGCTCTTGGATTTTGCGCTGACAGAGCGGACAGGTCGCTTCATCTTTCCCGTCAGACACATCGGAGCCGCCGTATTTTTCTTTTCACAGCAGCGTGACACACATCATGTCGGATTTCGAGGAGTTTGAGAAACAGCTGAGCGAGAATCGACAGGGTGAGTGCTGCCGTCCGTCTGTGCCCCAGTTCGTTCTGCAAGCTAGCAGCGTAGCGCCGGTGCGGACCGTTAGCTCGCTCAGTTGGTTTTATGAATGAATATCGCGACCTGACACCAACTTCAGCGCGTACTTTTCCTCTCTATGACTCAGCTTAGTTGCCTTACCTGTGCGATCATATTTTGATTAGACTTCAGCCTGCTTCTGAAGCTGCTAAATCTGTCACACAGCCCTGGACGCAGTCTGGGTGCCGGTAAGAGCGCACAGTCAATCTTACCTGAGGCAGCAGGAGGCCAAACTCCAGGAAAACCGCGCACCTCTTTATAGTTTTCTCCTGCACCGTGAAGACACCTGCGGGCAAAAATGTAGTAACACGGCACTTTCTGAATCATTTGGTACTGTTTCTGAATTCGGCATCCATTAACAAGTATTGCAACGCGTTATTAACAAATTAATTAAAAAAATAATCTTTGAGTGATGGATCGAACAGCATCACTAGGGAAGAAATTAGAAAAGGACAAAAAAATGAAGGAAACAGTTTATTTGTAATTGTTTCAGTAATAATGAGGAGTTGGAGCTGAGCTTAACACATACTTATCATCACTTTATATTTATGTCTGCGTGTATCTATATGTAATCCCTACACTAGTTTATTATTTTTAATACTATTTTAAAGCCTATTTTATTTATTATTTATTATCTGTTTTGAAGTTCTGTCAAAATGTCATTTTATTTTTATACATTTTAATAATTTTAATTTTAATTTTAAATTTTTTCATATTTCATTGGCTAAATTTTTTTTATTACTTGGATGAATGAAAATTCATTCAAGTTGTGTTAGTTAAAAAAATATATCATTAAAAAATATATTATGTTTCACAAGCTCACGTGCCTATGAAAATATACATATATGTGTGTATGTGTGTGTGTATTAAAAATTGTAAAGAAAAGAGTAGAATATTGTTTTGTGATCAGATGTTCCTTCATTTGGTCAGCATATTCCAAGATAATGATGCCAGGATTCGTTGGGCTCAGATTGTGCAAGAGTGGTTCAGTAAGCATGAGACATGATTTTCACACACTTCTTGGCCAATGCAGACTGCACACCCGGTGCCACTGAGAATACTTGGGATAAGCTGGGATAACTTTATGCAGCGGTCCAACTCTCCCATCACTAACATCTTTGAATGATGTCACAGCAGTCAGACTTAACCCAATATCAATTTTGAATCTTTTAAACTTTTTCCCAGCTTCTCCAGTGAATATTTGCTATTATATTCATTCATTTAGGTGTTATTAATCTCTTATAATGCATAATATACCTGCAATAATAAAAACATGCCAGCGAAGTTAAACAAGGTTTCCAGTCACAAAGAAAGAATAAAAAGTCAAACAGACCTCGTCCACAGCCTGACATTTAATCAAAGAGCTCCGGTACAGCTGGATCAGATCCACACAGAAAACAAGAATACCTCTTATCGATTTGTTAAAAGGTCTTAAGAACTGTACAGCCAAGAAGAAAGGCCACATTAAACTGCCACTTTTCTCAGAGATATATGATCAGCAACATATCCAAGGGTGTCAGACCCTGCAGGTACTACAGAAAGGAGAATTTCTTTAATTATCAGCGGTGAAAAGGGTAGATCTATTAAATATTTACACCATAATTATGAAGCAATTATCTGTAGAACTCAAAAGATTAAAGAGTTTATGGAATGACATGAAAATAATCAACTTGTAGAAGAACGTGAGAGTTTTGTTCTTCTACCAGCTTTTTTAACCAGGAATAGAAGATGTTACATGTAGAGTGTGACTTTAAATAAAGGTGTAAAAATTATAACTGTATTTTTTACTACTGTATGTAATTGCTTTACTGTTTTTATGACACATATTATGAAATATTTATGGGGGGTTTGTAATCTTTCTGCAAAAAGAGGCTGACACCCCCACTCATCTCCAGCAGAGCTGTTTGCACGGTCACGTCCACAGTAGTAAATTATGCTTCTACAGATGGAAAATTACAGCGATATCACAGCCTGTGAGGTTAAAAAACAACCACACCAGGGTTATGAGCTGCTGACCTGTTCGGGCAAGTGACGCTGTTTCCACCGATCAAAACGAACCTTCACTAATGGCTACTTTCTTCTTAGAGTCAGTATTTTCACATTAAAAGGCCATTAAACCACCAGACATCATTAACCCTCTGATGTTCAGGACTTCATCAGCAGAGACCCTAACCTTGTGCTGTCTGTCTGAATATGTGTAAAGTCTTTTTTCTCTCAAGTCTTTAAGGTACAAAAGAAATAAGAATTCTGACTGCCATGGATCCACATCTGTTTAAAGTTTGTCCATAACAAGGTCCTTGTTGTCCATCTCCAGAGCAGCAGGTTAGGGCTGGTTGGTCACTGATGGCGATGACACGACAGCCAACTGAATGAGGAAGAAATGAAAACTGTCTGTATCTTTAAATCCAGCCACCGGTCTCAGTATTTGCTCTAGCACTGCTTTAGCTGATGTTTTTCCTCTCTTATACTTTTATATTATCCCCTAAATGTGCTGATAAATTAAGTAATATTCATTGAAATTAAGCTGCCGGTAAGTAAAAGAGGCCAGTAAAACTCTGATCTACTGGCCTGGATGCTCACTGGGGAAAATTTTTATGTTGAACTCAGAGTTTATTGAAGCTTTCCAATATTCCAGGCAAACTCCTGTGAAACTAGAGATGTCAACTTAGTTTTATTTCCTGGGAACCAGGCTGATCTCAGGTGAGGTGGACGAGTAAAATCATTCGGAGTGTACCTGAAGTAAAGCGGTGTCGGTACAGCCTGAAAACATTTGGTTTTATTGCTCAAAAAAGAAGCGCCGCTGCTCTGTCGTGTTTGTCATCCCGTGTTTTTCCTGACCTCACAGAGCGAGAGAGGGAGCGGCACAAGAAGAGGAGTCGCAGCGGATCTCCCGGACGAGGTGACAAGCATCGCAGCTGGAGCAAAGACCGAGGTAGCCGCAGCCGGGAGAAACGCAGCCGTAGCCGGGACAGGAAGAGCCGGGATCGCCGCAGCTCCTCCCGAGACCACAAGAAGCACAGGTGGAAAACTGCATGGCTTCCTAGGAAGGATGAGTCCGTGTACACCGCGTTTGGTTGTAGATCCTCAGACCATAAACAAAGTGAAAGAAATGTTCATTTTCATTACTGAATGAATGAATTCTGAATTCA